CTTCTTCTTCTTCTTCTTCTTCTTCTTCTTCTTCTTCTTCTTCTTCTTCTTCTTCTTCTTCTTCTTCTTCTTCTTCTTCTTCTTCTTCTTCTTCTTCTTCTTCTTCTTCTTCTTCTTCTTCTTCTTCTTCTTCTTCTTCTTCTTCTTGTTGTATTGAACACGCCACTCTTTGTCACGAGGCCATGAAAGACGCCAAACGCCACAAGCGTTCGATTGCCATGGTATGGATCGATTTAACCCTTTGAGCACGCATGACGTATTAATACGTCACGTACAGTGTCACTGCACCCACGCATGACGTATTATTACGTCGTGAGTGTACATAGCGTACAAACGCGATTTGCATGAACCGCGTGAGTTCAAACTATCGTAACTCGGTCAATTCTTGGCCGATTCTCACGATCGAAATATGTATCTGCAAGAGAAAACTCTCAGCTTGCGATAGAAACAATCGCCGAAGCGATACGACCCCGGGTTGTTGAGATATGCGACTCGACACGGCAAATTCAAATCGATTTTTCTGCGAACTCTGCAGAACGCGTATTTTCCATTTTCGATCATTTTCGCGCTATCTGCTGCCATGGAAACTAGATTCAAATGATGGCAGCGGATCTGGCGAGCCCTCAAAAAAATTTGAGCTCGATACGAGCAAGGAGAGTGAAATGGCAGCTGAGGATTTGATCTCCTGGCCGTGCTCAAGTCTGTCGAGCGCGTGCGTCAAGTTTGCCAGACTGTAGCATGGGCTTTTGGTGTCGCTCCGAGCTGAGCTTGGAACTATTTTGTTCCTCGTCTCAAGACCTTTGCAGGAAGCTCAAGATCGTGGAATTCGTCCAAAGAAAGGTAAAGTTATCGATCCTTGAACAGCTACTACTTTCATAGGAAAAACGCGATTTTTGCAGGTGTTGACGTGGGGCGGCATTCAGGTAGCGTCGTGCTCAAAAGGTTAAAGAACGCCTTTGGCTCAGTAAAACACAATCTGATCCAGAGGGCACTGCAACGCTACCACATCCCGCTGAAAATCAGGAACCTTGTTTACTCTTACTATGAGCGTCTGACAGCATTCATTAAAAGACCACTCACTCAGACCTTCCGGTACAGCATCGGCGTATTTCAAGGTTGCCCACTTTCCCCTATTCTATTCAACATCTGTTTCCAAATTCTACTTGATTCTCTTCAGACCAAACCGATCCAAGCCCTTTCGTACAGTTTCCGTGACACAACTGTCACTGCTTCGAACACTGGATTCGCCGACGATTTAGCAGTCTTCAGCAATCGAACTCATGGTGCGCAGAAGAAGTTAGATCTGGTTGATAGTTTCCTTGCCTGGTCAAAAATGCAGGCGGCCCCGCACAAATGCAGGTCGTACGCAGCCAAATTGACCAACAACAAATACACCTACTTTGACCCCGCACTCAGAATATCGGAAACTCCAATACCAGCTCTAAACGGCCAACAATTCAAGTTTCTAGGCAGGATGCTAACAGATACAGTAGGTGAGATAACGCAACGCGAAGACCTCATAAACTCCACAAGATGCCTACTAAAGACAGTTGCCGAGACCAGACTATACGGACACCAGAAGTTGTGGCTCTACCAGCATCAAATCATCCCCAAAATAGCATGGCAGCTCGAGATACTTGATCTCAGCCACAGTTTCGCCAAACTCCTACACAGAATTTGCCTTCCATTCTTAAAGAAATGGGCAGGCTTGCCCAGACCCGCAGCACCAGCAATACTCTTCATCGGCGCTCGGGAGCGCTTCGGCCTACGTTTAACGTACATCCCTACGCTATGGAAGCAACGACAGGTCATTAGATGGAATATCATCAAGAACAGCAGCGACAAGAACATGGCAAACCTGTACCAACATCACAGCAAACAACAGTATCTGCTCACAAGACAATACTCCGCAATAAAAGAAATGGAATGTGCCGAGGCAGCGATCTCTGAAGCTAGTCCAACTAACCTCCAGCAAGGCAGGGCAGGACTCGGCTTTAGGCATGACAAACAAGAGAAAATCAAACCTAGAAAACAAATACTCAATACCATTCATGAAGGTGACTGCCAAGACCAGCTATCCCACCTCAAAAGCCTGCAAATGCAAGGCAGCTGGTTAAAGTGGAGAGACACGATGTTTGAAGACCTCACTTGGAAAAAACTGTTGTACGAAGGCTACGGGAGAACTTTCTCCTTTCAACTAAACTGTGTATTAAACACACTACCAACAGTTGACAATCTGAGGAGGTGGGGTAACTCTGTGGTCGAACAACAATGCCCTCTATGCAACAGGCAAGCTACGCTCCGTCACATATTATCAGCATGTCCAACAGCCCTCCACCAGGGCAGATATACCTGGCGCCACGACAACGTACTGAAATGCATAGTAAAACTAGTAAACGAAACCATCCAAACTTATCAAAAGGCCACGGCATCAGCAGAAACGCAGAGTAATCAGAAGAGAATTGATTACATAACTTTCTGCAAGGCAGGAGAGAATCTCCCCAAACAGCCCCCCTCCCAACGCAAACGGCTAAATGACCAATTCGTAACTAGCTCAGCAGACTGGAAGGTCCTGGTGGACATGAAGGATGAGAAACTTGTTTTCCCCCACTTCATAGCACCTACAACCTGTCGTCCAGACATAGTGCTCTTCTCCAAAGAATTGAGAAGAGTTCTGTGGCTGGAACTCACGGTATGTAGTGAAGATCGCTTTGCACAATCGCGCGAAATCAAAATCGAACGCTATCGTCACCTTCATAACGCGTGTGTAAGGAATGGCTGGGAGACGGAAAGTCACACAGCAGAGGTGGGAGCGAGAGGCGCCATATCCACCAGCTTGGATTCCTTCGCGAGATCCTTGCGCTGCACTAAGGAACAGCGCAGGCTCTTGCGGAGGAATTGTCGCCAAGCAGCGCTGAACTCAAGCTATGTCCTATGGCTAAGGCGAAGGGAGCGAACATGGCGCGACTGGCCTTTGTATTAAAACTGTTTGGTGAACCTGTTGTAGAGCACTTGGTGGGCGATCGGCCACCCAGCGAGGATAGTTGGACGTCCTTAAAATCAAGATTTGAACTCGCCATTCCGGCCTCTAAAGGGCCGGGGGTGGACGATCGCCAACCTTGCCAACCTCTCGTAGTCACTTGTTCTTGTCGAATCGTTATTTTCATAGCCTTCTCGACATTCGCCCTACAAATTACCATACATCACAACGCAACTACCTGTACATGACACACCATACCATACGGACACAACCACACCCCAACTGTACTGGGGGCCTATCTCTTCGAATTGCATTATATGAGTTTCTTTTTCCTTTTTTCTTTACCCGTTACTGTCTAAAAAGCAGTCGAAACGGTTTTTATCCACCATTTGATGGTGAGCATTTCCCTTCACATCTTCTTCTTCTTCTTCTTCTTCTTCTTCTTCTTCTTCTTCTTCTTCTTCTTCTTCTTCTTCTTCTTCTTCTTCTTCTTCTTCTTCTTCTTCTTCTTCTTCTTCTTCTTCTTCTTCTTCTTCTTCTTCTTCTTCTTCTTCTTCTTCTTCTTCTTCTTCTTCTTCTTCTTCTTCTTCTTCTTCTTCTTCTTCTTCTTCTTCTTCTTCTTCTTCTTCTTCTTCTTCTTCTTCTTCTTCTTCTTCTTCTTTCTTTTATTTGAATTCGTTTAGAGCACAGGCAATTCTGCCTTCTCACCAGAGGAAAAACCTCCGATTTCTGCTAAGAACGAATATAATATTATGAGAGAAGGAAATATTAAAAAGAATCATAACATGATAATTCCAAAGCACAAAGTTTGTATATAATTCAAATGGGTGTGTGTATGTGTAAGCATGCAGTGAAGAAAACACCTCTAGCAGGGAGTCGTAAAATACCGGTATTTTACGACTCCCTGCTCTCTAGCTATTACATGTAATACAAGGAGGTATTATGTCTGTGTAGAGCTAGAGTGCCTCTGCATAGTGACTGTACACATTGCAGGGCGCAGACCCAGACCATTCCACTGGACTTCACCTAGCTGTAGTAACTGGTACTGGTCAGACACGTTCATTGCAGCTAGTGCAGGCATGGTGAGTGAGCATGCCGGTATTGACCGTCGATGCACAATATCATTGTGGACATATAGCCGGTTGTAAAGCGGACGTGCGAACTTTACTCTTTAAAAAAAAATTGCCACCTGTATACACATTTGTTCAGAAAGTGGTGGACATCACGCAACTGCATTGTAAATAAAAGGGTGTTCAACTGACAACCGCTCTATTTAGTTGCTATTCAAGAATAAGAATTTTCAACTAAAGAGTGAATAGCAACTAAATAGAGCGGTTGTCAGTTGACAAACCCCCCTTTTGTATACACATTCTGCTTGAAATGGGTGCTTTCAAGAGACTTGTGTTGATTCTAAGAACAGTCCTACACTACACCAGGTAGCCCTGCACATACATAATTATGTTGGCGTCTGATGATTGATTTTACCATGAAACTCTTAGTAGATGTACATGACTTGTATTATGTACATAAGGCCACACAAAAAGAATAATTATGACTTTTGTTGTTGTTACCTGGTACTTCAAAAGAAGTATATAAGGGGGTTATAATTATACTATTGATATTATGCGTACCGGTACATGTATACGGAGGGGAGTTCCTCCAAGTACTGTTGTGAAGAGTGAGGGCCCTGGTGAGCAGTACAGGGGATCCTAGCCAGACGGACAGCAACCACAGTCAGCACACATGTGCAGAGGCGACCAACAAACTGATCTCTTGAAACCTGGTGGCACACCGGGGTGCGGGTTTCGCTTGCCGGAGGTTAAACCTGCGGCAAGCAAAATCCGCACCGTATGCCAATGTACACTGTCAATGCTGCGCACCGGTTCGACTACTAGTACCTCGTGTACAGGAGGCTGTGGCATAGCATTCAGAGCCAGGGAATTGTAAGACATTTCGGATTTCATTTGCCTCATCCGTGCAAACTCAGTCCCGGCATTGCACCACAGCGGTTCATCAAGACTGAGCATACTGAATTATACCAGAACCACAAAGGAACTTTGAAGCTAGGCATAAACGATAGATTCTGCACAGCAGATGCTGCGCGCATGGGGCAGACCGGATTATATCAGCGTTAGAAACTAGAAATTATAAATCATTGCTACAAGTAGATTCATTAGGTAAAGCTTAGAGTATGCAGCAAAATTATTACCATTGTGTCCAGAGCCCTGAGCCACACTACTGTGTGTGTGTAAGCACCTGGGACAATAAGCCGCACAGGCATGATTTCACAAACTATGTTATTCCTACACAAACGTACTCAAAGTAGTCAAATTCACCTTTGCCTGTAGATTTAGCAGTAGCTTGTCATTTCTGTATTTCCGTTCCGTTTGTTTCTGCAAGTAGTAAGTTGGGCGTTCTTCAGAGACGGCCAAAATAGCGACAAGAAATCAGATTCGATGATTCGTCAGAATGAAGAGGTTGGTTCAGCATGTCGCAAGTTCCGCTGTCCGTGCGGTTCCGAGCTGGCTTGGTATTCAAACACACTGAGCCGTACTTTAGCCTGCACAGTCGGCGTATAGCCACGGCTCCGAGAGCTTTCCGCAGCAGCGCCGCCTCAAGACAATCGGCGGCTGAGCCATTCAATGTGCCAGGGCATGGCATGAACTTTGTGTACAGTGTGCAGCACATACACATACACATACATACACCTAAGCACTGCAACAGAGCACACACACGCACGCACGCACGCACGCACGCACGCACGCACACACACACACACACATACACACACACGCGCACGCACACACACGCGCACGCACACGCATGCACGCGCACACGCACACACACACACACGTACACACATACTGTACTACAGAGCCAGCATGGGTTTAAAACATCTAGTCTCTACACACGGCACGGCAAGTTCGTACGCGACCCTGGTCGTTGGAATTACTTGACAGTTCGGCGAGTCGATCCCGCCGACCCCGGTTTTCCCCCCGATTATCTTACAGACCGCCCTGTGGCTTAGGAGGCAGAGGTGGGGGCACGGCCGACGTCCACGGCTCCATAGCAACAGCTGTCAGCGGGTTGACGGGCGAGGGCTTGTCGACGGAGCGCCGCGGCACGTCCTGGGGACTTTCCAGCGGCAGGAACTCGTTGCCTGGTGGTCCGTCGCCGTGACCACGCGGAGGCAATGCAGGCGGCGGACTGCCCTCCTCGACCGGCGAGAATTTGGTGAACAGGCGCTGGCGGAGTCCGGATAAAGAGGCGGGGTTTTGCTGCAGGCCCAGTGCACTCATGTCAAGCATGCCATCAGTGCTGGCCACTGCCTCATCGGAAGAGTTTTCACCGTCACTCGCAGCAGCTGCTGTCGCTGCTGGTGTGGCTGCTTCCTCTTCCTCGTCCTCTTCCTCTTCCTCTTCCGCAATACTTAGTTGCGAGATCATTGAGGTAGGCCTTGACGCGACGCGTAGTGGTGCTCCAACTGAAGGCACAAAGAACACCCGTATGGACAAACACGTATTGGAATACACACACATGTGCACGTGCATTCGCACGCACACACTAATGCACGCACACACGCACTCATACATACACTCACGGGCACGCACGCACCCCCCCCCCCCCAAGTACGCATGCACGCGTCCACTCACCCGCCCACACACACGCGCATGCATCCACCTGCGCACCCACGCACGTACCCACTCACCCACCCATGCACCCGCCCACACACTCACCCGCCCACCCACGCACACACACACACACACACACACACACACACACACACACACGCGCGCGCGCGCGTGCACACACATCAGCACGCACACACTTTCTGACTGTATAATTTATCTCGTTACTTTGGCGGACTGTTATCCTAACTCGTGATTACCAGCAGGCACAGTGGGTTGGTCAAAGACCATGATTGAGATACGAGAGGTACCTGGTTCAAGTCCTGCCTGGGAGCGGTTTTTCCAGCCGTGCTGCTACCCACAGTCACCTGAGAACTTGTGGCCAGGCACAAGGGGTACATGGATGCGGCTAATGGGGTCTTTCTCGGCACTTGTACCACTGGTTGTGAGACTTATCCACTCACCCCCACTGTTAGGCGCTGCATCTGCCGCTAGGGTTTACCGGGTGTTAGCGGCCATCGTGAGTTCCCTTCGGGAATGGACACGATAATTTACTTTTTTATTTTTATAATCATAACTCGTAACGTATTGATCCTTTCTCTTTCAGTCACGGTAAGTCATGCGAAGACTAGCCAAGCTTGCTTGGTGATGTCAGCGCCAAAAAAGGCGATGAAAATATAATATGAGTCACACATTCTTGTCTTCAAGATCGGTTGTGGGACTCATCGAGGGCAGACTGTAATCGTAATAAACACAACTCAAGAACGGCCATACCGTGTGTCGTCTTTCCCAGGTCTTCGACGAACTGCTGTACTGCCGGTGCGCTCATTGCCCTCTCGCCCTCGCGGAACAATGCTGCTGTCTGCTCGGCCGTCGGGTGGAATGCACGTCCGTAGTAGGGGAACTTCCCGTGATACCACTCGCCAATGGTGCGTGTGATGTAGTTGCGGCTCTTCCTGTTGAGTAGATGCAAACATGCACAGTATATGGTGGCTGAAAAGCGTATTGTAATGGTGCAGGATTCGTGATGGTATTGTGTGAGATTCTCCCGTGTCTGCATATCCTATTTTTAGCATGCATTCTGTAGTACTCGTTGCTCTTTTGTGCATGATGTTCGCCGAGAAGGTAAGCTGAAGCGATGTGTGGTCTCATGAACCCGAGGTCCTAGAAATCTCACACTGTCATCACAATACTAATAGGTAAAAGTACTACGACACACGAGCCTGTTGACATTGAATGATATCCTGTCCTTTAAAAAGAGAAAATTTTAAACGGTTGCAAATCCTGCGAAACATCACAATGGACACTTGGCATTGCAACACAATAATTACGCTCGTGCCCAAAACCTATGGGACTACCCGCAACAGGAGGGCATGCGCTCAGGGCCCTCACTGGGCTGGCACCTGGCCCACGTGTACGGTCACCTCTCGACTACTCCCTTTGGACACTCCACAGGGGGGTCGGACACGGTACGGTCACTACAATATTGACCGTACCACTTTTGCCCCTGAGGTGCCCCGTAAATCACAAAAATACACTGATCTGGGCTCTAAGTTTCAAAACCTTTCGGCTCAGCACCCCCTCCCCCATGAGCAAATTCATGGTACTTCAGATGGCTGACCTTACCACACTAAAATACCTTCCGGCGCCCCTGACTCCATCACATGGTATTTTACAGCATAGCCCCCGCGCACATACCCACCCAGTAAAGGGCGCTGGACTCTGGCTACGGTAGACCCTCTCCATCAATTGTGTGACGTCATAGTTATGGCTTTGGCGGTACCTAGAGTACATGAAACCCCGAGTGTGCAGCTCGGATGGGTTGCAGCCATGGCGAAATTCCGTGATCACATCATTTTAGTGACGCAGTGTGTACAAGCAGGATTCAAGCAGGTCTCTTTCTGCGTAACTGCAGGTCAGATTTTTTTTATTTTTTATTTTACTAAGTCCACTATGCTCCCGATTGAATGCGGAAAGTGGTGGCGGGGCCCTGCTGCTCAGCCGACCTTTGTGGTCTTGGCGTCTGCACAGACAAAGCGCGCCAAGAAAAATGGATGTACACCTTATGCCACTCCCAGCCCCAGATCTGCAGTGTGGAGATCAAAATATGATGTACTCCCAGAACTTCGCCGCAGCAGACACCCATGCAGAAAGCGTCAGAAGCTGCACATTCTGGCTTTCTAAGGTACACTTGTCGATAGCACCATCACTACACACAGACAGTATCTACCCAGTCAGAGCGCCATAGAGCTCATCAGCTTCTCCAGCACACCAGCCATCGTCCAGGTCACCTGACCAGTCGCCCTCCAGGAGTTGGTCCGGGTGACGCGGTTGGACCAGAAGGATCTCACCTTGTCCTACAATGTCTCGACTGTCACCGTTCTTAACGGTGTAGAACACCTGCAGCCGGTATGGGAGAGTGGAATTTACAAAAAAAAGGAGAATGGAAATAGGACAAACAGACAAGCAGAAACAGAGAGGCAAGCACAGATAGACATATGACCCAGTCACGGTCCAAACTTTGATTCATTTGAGTTCAGCTCTCTGCCTGCCGGTGGAATTGTTCAGGAGTTCTCATCTTGTATACACGCAGACACACATACAGGTTTGTGATGTTCCCTACTTGCACCCTAGGCCTCCGGCTGTCTGCATGGTATTACGCCAGTGGAACCAAACTTGCTTGCCACTTGTGTTATAAGCCTATTGCAGTGTACAGTACCTTGAATTGTATAGCGTGCGGGGCCACACCACGGCTGGCACTGCCTAGCGTCCTGAACAGCTCGTACGTCAGATCCTCGTCATCCATGGTGCTGAACCGACAGCCTAGGTTCTTCCTGGCTCTCTGCAGTGTCAGCATGATCTTCTCCGCTCGGTTGAACGATACGGGTGCACCGGCATCAGCAACGATGATCCTAATCCATGCCCCCCCCCCCCGAAACAAACAAACACACACAAACACACACACATACACGCACATATTATACGTATGCATGTATACATACACATGCACCCACACACACGCACAGCCGCACACGGACCCATGCATAGCCAACAAATTTGAGATATGGGATAGTGATCTCAGTTTAACCAGCTATACAACATGATTCACACTCGTAGTTCATGTTGATAATGGGTGAATACTGTAATGTCTTTCATTCCACAAAATTTGTAATATCAGTACAATATTAAACTCCGAACTTAGAAGTTGCGACTTCGGCGGTAATAGTCATGAAGTTGGTTGCTCCAACGAGGAGTACACGCTTCTTGCCGAACTTGACACTTGACTGACTCACGACTGCCATCCGGAGCACACGAGGAGCACGTCGCACCTTCTGCTCGGCAAACCTGAAAGAAAGCACCACTCCCTGCTCAATACACAGTGTTTCGGGGAATTCACCCCTCATCAGTTGAGCTTGAGTAGGCTGAGGAAGATTGTGCCTGAAAAGCACCACTTATATACTGCTCTCCAGGCCAAACCATCACCAGGGATACAAACTTACAGAGACGCTTTGTTTCCAGCGCGACAAACACCTCGTGAAGCCCCAGGTAGCAGCGTGAGTCAGAGTCACTCATGGAGTTGTGCTAAACAGACTACTCAAGCTCAACTGATGAGGGGTGAATTCCCCGAAACACTGTGTATTGAGCAGGGAGTGGTGCTTTCTTTCAGGTTTTGCCCAGCGGAAGGTGCGACGTGCTCGTGGTGTGCTCCGGATGGCAGTCGTGAGTCAGTCAAGTGTCAAGTTCGGCAAGAAACGTGTGCTCCTCGTTGGAGCAACCAACTTCATGACTATTACCGCCAAAGTCGCAACTTCTAAGTTCGTATTGTTGTCCCTCACGCAGACGTGCGACTAGTTGTTGGAGGTGATAGAATTGTGAATAGCTATACTGGCTCTCAACGTCTGTTTAGCACAACTCCATGAGCGACTCTGACTCACGCTGCTACCTGGGGCTTCACGAGGTGTTTGTAGCGCTGGAAACAAAGCGTCTCTGTAAGTTTGTATCACTGGTGATGGTTTGGCCTGGAGAGCAGTATATAAGTGGTGCTTTTCAGGCACAATCTTCCTCAGCTTACTTAAGCTCAACTGATGAGGGGTGAATTCCCCAAAACACTGTGTATTGAGCAGGGAGTGGTGCTTTCTTTCAGGTTTGCCGAGCGGAAGGTGCGACATGCTCCTTGTGTGCTCCGGATGGCAGTTGTGAGTGAATCAAGTGTCAAGTTCGGCAAGAAGCGTGTGCTCCTCGTTGGAGCAACCAACTTCATGAATATTAACCTTAATTTGGCCGTCACAATAATTCAGCGTATTCTTGCAGTTTTTCTTTTGTTTCGGCTTGTATTGGACCAATTAAGCATGTTTATAAGTTTGAACTGAATATGTCAATGCGTTATGGAAATATTTGTATGTTCCCAAAAGGGAACGTTGGCCGGATCGCGTACCAAAATGACCATGGTTTTTATGAAGGGAAGATGCAATATGATATAATGGATTATGTTGTCTTGTAAGTGTTTGTGGAGCAATGCAAACATGAACAAGCAGTAATGGAGAAGAAAAAATATGTAATAGTCGTCAAAGAGTGTCCAGCAATGTTTCTTAGTGTTTTCGGCTGCTACCGTTCGCGTCTCGTATACACCGTGGCATTCGATCCTCGATCGAAATGCAGTCGAACTCCACACTGAGAACAGTAACATATCGTGGTTTGTCTGCACCATTTACAACGACATTGTGTTGTCCACATTCTTGTTGTCAAACGCGCTTGTACTGCACATCAACAGCAAGACACTGGTGCTTCTGGGCGCGGTCGGCTATAATAAAATAGGACGGCGATCTCGGGATGAGCCTGGATGTAGGACATTGGCTTGGGGCTCACCGCTGCTTGAAAAATTGGCACTCTCAGATCAGTTGTAGGAATGTGGAGCGAGACAAAAAGAATTACAAGGAATCTCTCAAGATTGTCGGTCTCCGAGCTAATGTTGGCCTTGTCTGTATCGCGGGTATCGCGCAGTATTTACTCGTCCAATAGTGTTTAGAGATGTACAGGGTGTGTATATCTCGCGATTGGCAAGTGGGTGATGCTGTAGTGATCTCATGGTGATCGTGAAGGGATTTGTCCAGTTCAATTTCAGGACGCCTATCGTAAACACCAGTCTATTTCACCCAACGCGTTGTTCCAGCGGGTTGGCGTTTTTTTTTGCGGTCGTACTCACTATCAACAGGGAAGGCACCAACATCATTATCCTCTCCATTCGTCACGTGGTAGTTGTCTAGGTCCATATCTCTTGCAAGTTCGATGAAACCCTTATCATCCGTTGAATCATCTGATTACTACTCTATTTCATCGTCCACGTTCAGATCAACGAGAAGTGGTGAGCACACATGCTCTTTCCCTGGGCACAGCAAATTCACTGCATCAGAATCACGGAATCATTAGCACCATGCAGTTCTGAATTTGCAGTGCTCAGAGAAGGAGCAAGTGTGCTCACCACTTCTTTTTTGAGTTCCTGAGCTGCAGGATGCCTTACCCCAATAGCGCTTACGTTCAGATTGCCAGTAATCGGTGGCGCTAGGACTAAGTCCTGAAGTGTGTTGGAGTTCTCAACAATGTCCTTAGCTTCCATTGGAATCACTTTTGAGTCCCTTTCCAGAAAGGACTCTGCTACTGTAAACCTTTCCCTCTGCCGTACCACATTACAGCTAAAGCGATATTTTCTGACAAAAATGCAACAGCGCGGAGGAAAAGATCATCGAAAGTCCAGGAGAACGCCATAAAGCATCCATACTTTGCTGAATATTGTTCAAGTGAATCTTTTTACACAAAAGAAAACCTACTTCAGAAGTATATTCCTTTGGAGACTGTTTAGCAATCTTCACTTTGGCAAATGTCAGCCTCGCACAGCATTGCTGTATTCTGCATGCTAGTGAATCACAAATATATGACCAAATTTGGTTACCATGGAGACGGTCCAATTACCATCAAAACATCAAAAAGGCTCCATCAGTTATATATCCACGTTTACGGATGTTACAAACAAGGAATATGCGCTAGATATACTGGTTCCTGAAATCAGGTGAAAATGAGGTATATCTGGGTCTCGGATCTGGCCAACGTTCCCTTTTGGGAACATCGAAGAAAGACGGCCGGTTACTATGTGCCATGATCAAATTTCCGGTGAATCTTCAGGCCAGTTGGGTGGCCATAGTAGCAGAGTGCACTTCTTACGTGTGGATTACTCTGAGAAAGACTGTTTTTCACACCAGAGTTCTCAATTTCTGAAGAACGGCCGAATACCGAAAATTCACGACATTTCGCGTTATATCCTGATACTTGAAAATTTCAAAACCTGACAAATATTCCAAGATTCATGATCATCAGCCTTCTAGATTTGTATATAAACAGAAAATGCGGAGTAAAAATGAATTTCCCTTGACCAAATCGCATGCGGAAAGAAATGTTCCCTTTTGGGAACATTGGCCAGATTAAGTTAAACTCCAATTATAGAATTATTTGCGAAAAGCAAACAGCTGTCCGAGGAGGTGCGAAAGCAACGAGGGAGGGCAGTGGCCTTACCCCTTTGGAGCCCGTCCATACTAAAATCGACGGCATTCCGTCGATGGGTTTTGGGCGGAATTCTAGGCGCATGATCGCATTTCTTCTTGCTCGTATGGTGCTCAGTGGCGCGTCTAGGGTTTATCCTTCGAGAACACATTGAAAATCGGGGTGGTTTAGCATCAAAATCGTGGAGTTACAGGCGATCAAAGTGCGCGAAGTAAGCGCGCGGCTCACGCGAGCTGCGAAGTAGCTGCTGACGGAAATATATATTGTTTGAACTGAAGCGCATTTTCAGTTTGCTTTCACGATGGACGGGGCTCAAGAACTCGGCTCTCACGATGGACGGGGCTCAAGCCCTTGACCATTTATTTTCTCTCCAAGATGAGAATGACAGTGACTCGTCTTTAGGCGTTGGTCTTTCATCCAGCGACAAGTCCCGTCTTGGCACTGAGAGCAGTGACGACGACGACGATGTCGGGCCTGGCGCAGCAGCTGCTGTCGATGTCCACAACGCCACCACCAGCGGAGGCCTTGACGGTGGTCGTGGTGCTGCTGCTGCTCCTCGTGGCCGTGGAGCGCAGCGTGGAGGGAGAGGCTATGGTGGCGGCAGAGGCCATGGCCGTGGTGCTGGCGCTGCAGCTGCTGTACCACCTCCCCCAGATGTCCTGAAAAGTTGGATCGGCGCGGACGATGAAGCGTACGGTACGATGCCACCGCTTGAGCTCCACTCGGTGCCTGGCATTCGTGCTCCTGATGGATTCCAACCTAACAGGTGCGTAGACTTCTTCCTTTTATTCTTCACCGAGGAGCTAGTGGACCAGCAAGTGTCCTTCATAAATGCCTACGCTGCTGACAACATCGAAACTCGTCCTTCCTATGCTTCTCAAGATGGTACCTGGAAGCAAACAACAATTTCTGAAATCTATCGCCTAATCTCACTTGTATGTATTTTTGGTTTCGACAAGCTTCCAACCCTGGACAGCTACTGGAACACATCACCACCATTCCACGGCCACTGGGCTCGAGCAGTGATCCACAGCAGAGAGCGGTTCAAGGCGCTGCTGTGTTTTCTACATGCCGTCGACCACCGTACGGAGGACGCAAACAACCGGCTGCGTAACGTTTCGTTTATCACGGAATACTTACTGGACAAGTGTCGGTTCCTGTATCAACCTCACCAGAAAGTGTGCGTGGATGAACGGATGGTAAAGAGTAAAGGAAGATTCGGTTCCAAACAGCGCATCGCGAAAAGCCAGTGAAATGGGGTATAAAAGTCTACGCCGCATGTGACGCAGTTACGCACTACAACTTCAACTATGAAGTATACGCCGGTCAGTTCAAGTTGCACCAAGTGCCAAAGGGCACTCACATGATGTCACTAGGAGGATGGCTGTGGGTTTGGAAGGCCAGGGCTATGTAATGTACACGGATAACTATTACACATCCCCAACTCTAGCCAAGTCGTTGCAAGAAAACGGAATAGAACGTATCGGAACGTGCAATCCAAACCGCATTGGGTTCCCTCGAACCATGAAGAATGTGAAGCAATTTGACAGTCAGGCTGCCAGAGGTGATATTCGCTATGTGCGACGTGGTGACTTGCTGCTTCTACAACGGAAGGATCGTCACATCGTCACAATGTTGAGTGCGATCCACTCTAGGGCTGACGGTGTTCCTGTGCAGCGCCACACTAAAGTGAATGGTCAACATAAGTTTCTGGACGTGTAGATGGCATCTGTCATTGACACCAAGTCTTATAACCAGGGCATGGGTGGTGTGGACCAATTTGATCAGGATACGGCAGCTTATAGGGTGCTACGCCGATGCAAAAAAATTCTGGAAGACAATCCTCTTCGACTGTGTGGAAGTCGCGATGGTAAACAGCTACGTGCTCTTCCTTGAGTGGTGCGCTGCCAATCCCAGCCACATCTATCAGCCAGCCAGGAAGAAGCACACCTGCACTTCAGAGCATTAGTTGTGTGCCAGCTTGCAGGCATAGGACCTGGTGCAGCTGTCCCTACCGTCATCAGCCCTCGACAGCTGACGCCTGTCGCACCTCTTCTGCCGCATTTACCTTGTCTCCGACGTGAGAGAGTGCAACTGCCACTACTGCTACAGCATGGAGAAGGTCGAGCGGAAGGTGAACGTCATTTGCCACGTGTAGAACGTCAGTGCCATTGGTACTGTATTTCACTGGTTTTAAGTCGACCCCTGTATCCGAAGGTCTTAATTCTGCTTTTTAAAGTTATCTCCCAACGAAGCACTACTAACCACTCCCTGCTACTAACACATCAACAAATCATGTAAATATTCCTTATTGGAGGGTATAACGTCCCAATCCTTGAAAAAGGCCAATCAGCTGGCCAAAATGTGCACACATGGTGCACTCGTGCATGCAGAGCAGGTCATGTTTTTTAAAGATACTGACAGTTCCCGGTTATAAGTCGAATCCCGGTTGTAAGTCGACCCCCACCCTTTCTCCTTCTATTTTTAGTCGTAAAAGGTCGACTTACAACCGAAAAGAATACGGTAAGTGCCGTGCAATTGTTATCGCATGACCTGACTATCAAGTACAGTAAAACCTCGTTAGGACGAACTTCAAGAAATGAACAATTTTGTTTGTCTTATCCGGAGTTCTTCTTATCCAGATCTGACAAAAAATGATATTATGTATATCATTGTATATCATATGGATTGTACTTATGTGAAGGTGCATGTTGTGGCACGTGTAATGTATTTTATTCATAGCATAAGCCAGCAGCCGGTACATGTGAGTACCGGGTGCAATGAATTCGTGACAGCATGTACTCCGCCTTGTACCATGCTCTCAATTCGTTTTTCGTACAAGAGGCCTCGATTATCGGAAAAGTACAAGTACAGCCAGTGCACGCGCATGTGGACCGAAAGTTCGTACTACGTGCTGATTTTGTTCAAATCACGCTTCAAATTAGTTCGTCCTCACGAAAGTTCGCCTAACAGAGTTCGTCGTAAACGAATAATTTTGACTTAATATGATGCCTGGCCAACCATAGGATTGGCTCTAGTTCGTACTAATGGAACGTTCGCTTTATCAGTGTTCGTCCTAACAAAGTTTGACTGTAATTGGTGCTAGTAGTGAACACCAGAGGATAATTTCTAGTTCCTTGGTCTTTTTCTCTCCTATAAATTCATCCTCAGCTCTCCATCCGGGTCTAACAAATTCCCACTCACTTTGCTGTTTGTCTCTTGAGCAGTGCCATGAGTCCCGTGTGCTCCACATCCTCACAGCTCGACAAGTCCAGGATGAAGTCCGGGTAGGCACCGATGTTGGTCACGTTCATCACGCATCGCAGGTAACGGCACATCGGCACGTGCACATTCAGCCATCTACACGGCGAGGCAACGATGCACACCAGAGAACAGCAACAAGACAGACAACCAGATCCAGTCAACCTTGTGAACGACGACTTCAGGTATAACAACAACTGAAGAATATTCACACAATCTTCGGACCTTATGGCCATAGGACTGCACATACTTTCAAGTTCCCAATAACGACACTTTCCCCATGCATGGTCCAGGTCGTTATTTGCGAGGTGGACTCTACACGATCAGAAGATGCAAAGCACACAACCGTCTACAGTGAGGAAATGCATGCGAGGCATGGAAATAGCCAGTGCTGAGAAAGAAACACTGTAGTTCAAGTATGTTCACCCGTACCTGCTCATTGCGACGGCCTTCTGCTGCAACGATCCGGTGCGGCTGACATCTTTGTCGGACGGCAGCAGCGTGACGCAGGCAAGGGAGATGCGGAATAGGAACGCCAGCGCTCCTACCGGCAATCTCTGCGCTAGCGCCGGCACGAACAGGAACATGAGAATGTCAATAGTCACACCGACGTGAACGAGAGCAACCAGCAGTGCCTGCAAAGACGAACACAAAACACAGTGGCGTCACACACACCGTACGGCCAGTACAACCAACGTAGTACCACTTCCCCTCCAGAACGCCGCAGGGATGAACTTACTGTCATGTTCTTGCATAGCAGTTTTTCCTATGCAAAATCTCAATTGTGGCGTAAGCTACAAAAAACATGGATAGCCTGTACATGTATGTATGGCAGTTTTCTGCGTGTCACTGTGATTTTCGAGTAGCAGTAGATCGATTGTGCGTAGCAAACTGCGATGCGATACTGGATAAATTCATCCCTGGATGGTCCGCCTAGAGCGCATGTAGAGCGCTAAAGCGTGAACTGTGGGCTGAAAACACCGATCACAGTTATGGGCACTTCGGTCTACCGGGCACCCTTTGGGCGAGTTTAAATGGTAATATTACTACTCTTTTGCCACTTTTTGTGGATATATGTTGGACTCAGTAGAGCGTCCAGCCCCTATATGATGTCCAACCCCTATATAGAGTCCATTGGTCCAAAATCCACTGTACAGAGTCCAAACTTGGAATCAACTGTGAGCTCAAAGTTTAGATGGACATCACTCCCTGTATAGAGTCCAGCCAATTGGCTTCACCCCTATATAGAGTCCATTGGTCCAAAATCAACTGTATGGAGTCCAAACTTTGAAATCAACTATAAGGAGTCTTTATGTGGACAACACTCCCTGTATAAAGTCCAGCCAATTAGGCATCCCCTATCCAGAGTTCGAAATTAGACATAGGATATGCTGTAAGCAGTGAATATTAACCAGAAAACGGCCTCTCCCTTTAATCCTTTACATCATTTACTTCTCAAGATAAAAAATAAGTATTGAGGCGCCACTGCAGCCATTTCATTACATGAAAAACCCTACAAACACCATCCTCAAATCAAGTGGTCTCTTCGCAGACGCTGGAAATTACAATATCTCAATTATGTAGTGTTGCCAAATTATTGTGCACGCACACACACACACATGCACACACCAACACAACGCCAAGAAAATACTTAGAAAAAACCAATAATCGAAAGAGAATAATGGAGAGCCAAGGATTAATTATTTGTTTTCAAATTATTGTGCGCGCGCACACACACACACACACACACACACACGCACGCACACACACGCACGCACGCACACACACACAAATTTATACAACGCCAAGAAAACACCAAGAAAAGAGTAGAGACACAATACACACACAACTCCAACAGCCATGCAAACGTCCACCCACTTACACGTAAAGTCAAGAGGAATAACAAATAATTATACGAAACGAATGCATACGTGGGCGGATGCACGCACGTTTACATACATGTAGTAGTGTAAGAGAGTAACATAGTGCAGTAGTCAGCATAATACTAGCACATGCTGAGAGTGCAATAGCAAGCTTCACCATTGCTCATGGCCATGCAAATGTTCAGCAGCACTCAGTTCCGCAAGCTTCTGAAGATCAGCACACCTGCAACAAATAGATAGCACAAGGATACGCTTATTACCGTAATGATGCATGGGAGCACACAACTACCAAGTTCTCAACGAATGTGATGCTCAATGAAAATCCATCCACACAAAGACCTGTGAACAGGTGACGGTGGGGACAATAATCTACTAGTAATACGAGGAATAAGATCGTTTGTGCACACTCAAGACGCACAGACACACCGCCATACATGTAGTGTACACAGTGTTTCACTTCACTGCAACTAAATTGAAATGAGATGATTTAAACAATCTGTACAGCGTTGCAGTCAGTCAGTCTTCCCCAAGATGGAAATGCAATGATTTGTTGTCACGAGGCAGTTTCACTGACACAATGTCATGTTTGTGACATCAAAACGGTTACTTCATGGAATACGAGTACATGTATTAGCTTGAGAGGCTTTTTCTTGTCATCGGCATACAAGAAATCCTCCTCCTCCTACTACTAGTACACTGGCACTGCGTTTGTGGATCCCATGGCATTTTGACATCATACTAGAGCCTAGTAGAGGAAGAGTGTCGTGGAGTTCACATAATTATCACAGGGATAAAAATACATTTCTCATGAAATAAAATAATAATTGATGATAGCTATACGATCGTATACGATTGATGCAAAGTCCTTGCAGTCCTTGAGGACTATTACGAAGTGGTTGATTACTTTTAGGGCATTCATTCAAGCAACATCAAACAAACGCGATACGATCCTTGAAAATGGAAAAAAATTCAAGCATAACGACAGAACAGCAGACCAATCGAAACGAGTAAAAGCTTCCTTACCTCAGTCATCGTCCTGCCATGTAGTTGGACAGCCTTTTGACACGGTGGTACAGGCAGCTCTTGTCCAGTCAAACAGGGTATCCTTGTGGCGTCGAACGAAAGAGAGTGTCAGTGTATCTGACTCGTCAGATTGGAACTGTGCTGAACTTTTCTCGTTCTCCGCTTTCTGCTTTCATCCCTCGCTCTGATGAAACCGTTCAAGCGCCTTACTAGCAGCAATGGCCAGCCAAACAGGGGATCCTTGTGGCGTCGAACGAAAGAGAGTGTCAGTGTACCTGACTCGTCAGATTTGAACTGTGCTGAACTTTTCTAGTTCTGCAATTTCTGCTTTCATCTCGCGCATTGTTGAAACGTCTTCAGAGAACCACAAGACGCTTTCCAGATTTGATTTTGAACGTCTCCTTATCCTCCTTGGTTACCTCGAGACAGATTTGTCAGCAACTGCACAGCCGAACTGGCAGCCATGGCTGAAGTAAAGAAAGGAATGCGCTGCCATGAGGCAAGCAAAACTGAAAAGGTGTCTGTTCTCTTTCGGGCACAACACACAGGACGGCGTGACTGGACAAACTGGACTCCTAGATCCTGGACCGTGAATAGGGGACTTGTAGAAAAAGTGTACTCCTTATAGGGGATTGCGCGGCAGGATGAAGCTGATCAAAACTGAGTGGACTCCTGGACTCTGTATAGTGGATTTTGGACCAATGGACTCCATATAGGGTGGTGGACATCATATAGTGCATGAACTCTATACTGAGTCCTACATATATAATAATAATAGTGACATAGAATGCCATACCTATGGCCTTTCCTCATCAAAATTATATATGTGATTCGGAGTTACGGACAATTCAAAGTTACGGGCTGTGCCCGGTCCCGGACCGCCCGGATAAGCGATGTATGAGTGTATTAACATACGGCATCATGTATGTGGACCACACACATGTGTCATCCAAATGCTACTCACTCATCACGCAATCATGTGCCCCCCCCCCCCCCCCCTTCACTCTTCGCATAACGGATCATGCATTTGGTCCATACACATGCATGCTTCCACTGCAGCATGGCGGACTGACCAGCCAGCCATCACATGCATGCACGCTTCCACTGCAGAATAGTGACATAGCTCACCCTGCTGATGGTGGTGGACCAGCCAGGCGCAGAGTCCACCCAGACGGGTATCTTGAGAGAGTGGCGTGGGTGGAGCAGCAGGAGGATCTCACGCAGGAACTCAAACGACTTGTTTGCACTGGCTACACGTGTACATATACATCCAGATCACACAGAGAGAGAGAAGGAGAAGAACAATGCGACAGGGAAAAAATCGGATATTTCGGCCAAACAGGGTACGATTTAGCGGTCTTTATTGCTTTTGTGGACGAATTGGGTGACCATGCTGGATGAAACGCGGTCCGACCAAGACCGTACTGGTCGTACCGTGTGTGACGCCCCTGATCTCTTACAAAGTTATGTTGTTCAAGTTGGTCTGTTTTGGCAAAAGGGATAAGGAACTAAGTCAGTGGACTCGGGGATGAGGAACTAAGAGAGTGGACTCGGATGGAGAGCCAAGGATTAATTTATAGAAAAGTTGTCCTAGAGCTGGTAGCCAGTTAGTTGTATAACGTCAGCACCGTCGGTCAGTGTCGTGCAATGTTATCGCATGAGCTGATTGTTTACTAACTGGTAGTGTTAGGGGACATTATAGCGTCACTTGTACTTCCTTGGTCATTTTCCTTTTCTATAAACTAAGAGAGTGGTTTCATATCTTTGTCATGTGACTAAATTTGTGCAGAAAGTGATCATGTCATGTGGACAGTGTAACCAACATGGCCACTGACATCATGTGACCCATAGATGCAGGGGTTGAGTGGAGTTGGAACCAAAATGGCTGCCTGCCCTGTATGGTCATGTGATAGATGTGAAACCAGTCTATACAATCTCTACATATGAAAGCACACATAGACTTTGCCTGCACACATGGACTTCGCGTTGAGCAAGAAACTCGGAGTTGCAACACACTCTAAAAACCTCCTCTTTTGTGCCTTTTGCGTGTAATATTGTGCCACGTTATGGTGTTCAGCCCTCTCCTCTGGCAAAAGGTAACCGTGGCTCTTTGCATAATCCCTACTGAAGGTTAACACCCAGCACTACAGTACACAAATACACACACCAACAGAGGCACACATGCACAGGGCCGTGGCAGCTGGTCCGGCCGATCCGGCTGTGGCCGGACCACTTTTTTCAGCACAATGCCAAAAAGTGCCCAGAATGCAGGATTCTGCACCCTTACTTCAAATATTTCCCGGGGAGACCCACCCTCCAACCCCCTCAGGCCAGACTACCTCCAATGGTAATACTACGCGCCTGATACAGACACACATCATTGTACACGCCTTATTGAAGACTTACTGAAGAGAAGGGAAACGCCGGGAAAACCGGCCGCCATGGCCGTGCTTATCGGGATGAGAGACGGCATGCGCTCCAGATACTCACTGACACTGTCAGGGTTCTCATAGTTGATCACATCAACCTACACACATCAGATATACATACAATATAGTGTAGTATTATTCTAAACACAGTTTGGACAATGAGACAGAGAAGAGTAAACTAATGAGGAGCAAGAAATGCACAATCAGCAGGTGAGTGAAACACAAGAAAAGTCCCGAGCCAGTGAGAGAAGCACATTAAAAGGTCTGGCCTACAGGACACGGCCTGCATGACGTACATACATCATGCATCGCATACATTCATAAGTGTACAGTAGTGTACGCATAACGGAGTCCAGATATTACTACATATAGGTTGATGTCATGGATGAGTAGATCAAGAAGACGCATGTATAGGTGCTTGCTGGTGCACCTCTGTGAACAAGGGGTGGAGAGAGAGGAGGGAGGGAGAGAGAGAGCGAGAGAGAGAGAGTAGGGCGAGAGGAAAGAGATAGAGACATAGAAAACAGAGTGCACCAACAAAGGCGAATAACACAGTAAGAGAGAAAGATCTGCTAGACCACACGGCAATTCCAGCATGATGTGGCACTGCCGAATCATCTGCGCACGACTTACAAACTTAGAAGACATGCTGAGCATGATCACGCCATCGTCACGTGGATCTTTGACCACCATGCGCCAGTTCTGCAACGACAACTGGACAATGAGCTCTGGTTTGGTGCTGGCCACATCACTAAACGTCAGGTCTCCTGGAAGTAAGTGATAAACAGAGGACGGTGAAGCGATGTTAACACAGAAGTTTGCGAAAATCCTTTTTCTATAATAGTATATTCATAACTTTCAGGAAGTTTAAATCAGAAAAAACCATTGCTCTTTTCAAACACAGACGTGTCATCCTAGTATCTCCATGCGCCAAGCCATCCTCCCAAATATACAGACAGTGGAATAACTGGGAGACAAGAGAAGAGCCATCGGAATGACGGCAGGTGAGGGGCGGCTTATCCTAGAAATGGGCTAAGGTTAATTTTATCTGGAAACAGAGGTGATTATGAGGCCTCCCGGAAGTTATCAACTCGACTCAGGTGAGGAGTTGCTATGACAACAGCATGCTCATCTGAAAACTTGTGCATGGGCTTCACCTTGGACTACAGTGTGTTTCAAAAATATAGACATGTGATTTCAAAAAACCGTTAGGCCAGCATCTCTACCACATAAAATCTCGGAATTGAGCGTTGATATCCGATCGCTTAAAAACCTATATGAGAGTAATTGGGGAAAGGACCGGAGCAACATTCTGAAAAAAATTCTCAGAAGCTCGAGCCAAATATGAAATATTTCAAAAAATACCATGCGTCTATATTTTTGAACGGACTGCAGACTTACGAGGTAGAGAGTCGGGTGATCGAGACTGCTTGTCGTCGCCTGACTCCGCTTTGTGAGCGCATGCGGGCGAGATGAATATGCGCTCGAGGATGTGACGGAAGAACCGCGAGTGCCCCTCGTAGTGGCCCGAGGGGTGAAACAACGCTAGGCGTAAGCGCTCCCTGGTAGAGTCCACAGAGAACACACAACGACAATCTCTTTGAAAGGCCTGATCATGTTCCTATAGCACACAGTAACAGTATTTCCCACACTTATAAGGCAAATTCGATCATAAGTCGCACGCCCATCTTCAGGTTTGAGCCATATTGCTTCAACAGTTTATTCATTGTTATAAGTAGGAAGTCAGACTCGATTGTAAGTCGTCGCATCACCTTCTTTACTCTTGAAGTCCAATGTAAAAGGTGGGACTTATAGTCTGGTTTACCGGGTGTTAGCGTCCGTCGTTAGTTCCCTTCGGTAACGGACACAATAATTTACTTTTTTTTAATGGTGTGGGAAGTACACTACTACAGTACACTACTCACTATTGTTTTTTTGGAAATATTTTTTATATTTTAAAATCTGCAATGGACTGTCATTAAAACAGAAACAGAAAAATAATAAGGCACCCATTTTGATAGTCTAGGGGATGGCCCACGCCTGGTAAAGAGAATAATTTAAGTGCACAAATTTTCGGCCCATTCCAATTTTGGCCTCCCAGGGCTAACACCCAGTTCGGCCGCATCAAATGTTCCGCCTGTCCTGCTGCCGCCTGTATACACTGTCACACGGAACAGAACCTTGCAAAATAAAATTTCGGTCGCAAGAAATTCTCGGCCAAACACAACCAGGCCGAAAATAAAATTTAGTATGCGCCGGATATTTGTTGATTTACAGTGCTCACTACTCACTACACACTGTCCTCACGTGGACCACTAATCAACACTCCCGTCCCCACGGAAACGGAGCACCAACAATTACTGAGCCAACCAAGCCAAGGCTAAGTAAAAAGTGGGGAGGCTTCCTGCAGTTTCATAAGCAGTTAAGAGTAGAGCCCACACACTCTCTTCCATTAACACTGCAAGAATTCAACTCATTTCACAATAGTAGTACTGTGAAATGAGTTGAATTATTGCAGTGTTAATGGAAGAGAGCGTGTAAGCCAAGGCTAGTAGTCTCTATATCATCTACCAAGCCCCAGTCATGACACAAACCTAATCAAAATGACGACGCTCATACCTTGTTAATCTGGGCGGTCCGGAGCCAATCACAGCCCGTAACTTAGAAACGCCCGAAATTCGATGGAGAGATACGCAGAGAAATATGAACAGCCTAAGCTACGAGGCTAATCCCCGAGTTCTTCTGAACCCGACAGTACTCTACTTCAAGTACTCTAGTTTCCAAAAATTTCGGTGCTCAATATGTTCGGCATGAGGGCAAAAGGCCAGGTTAGGTGAACAGAAATTTTCGGTACAGAGAAGCAGTTCCCTATTGGATTATGTGTGTTAGTGTTTGTTCGGTGTATTGAAATTTTAGGTATGAAACAGATGCACCGAAAGTACCGAAAATAAAAGTACACCGAAAATTTGTGAAATTACAGTACTCATTATACGCACATGACTCATGTTGAACTGTAACATAGTAACACAATGTGGTGTCTGTACTGCAATACTTACTCAAACACTCTCAAGAATGTATACTGATGGATGGGTAATAGTAGAGGTGTGCTGTAGAAGGATACTAGACACAGTGTGGCCACCAGTATGTTGAACAGCGGCACGTCACTGAGGCTGGCCTCCTCGAATACTGTCTGACCCCACTGAGCATTGGAACAAGAAGCAGCAAGTAATACCTATGCATGTACAGGGACTAATTTAACCGGTATCGCATCGCAGTTTGCGACGCAAAACACAGTGTCTGCGATTCGAAGTTCGTAGTGAGTCGCGGTAAACTGCGACACAACACACATGTTAGCTAAGTATGGCCCTGGACATAGACTTGTAGTTGTAGTGCACGCGTAGCGCATGCACATGTGTAGCTTTACAGTGTGTGTGGCTGGTTTGGCGCCACGAGATGGCGCGCCATGCACTGTGACTAGATTAGACTGTGTGTGTGTGGTTGTCCAGCCTGCACTGCAGCACTGCAGGTAGATTTTACACCATACGCACGCGCGGGCCACGGGACCATGGCCATGCATGTCACACTATCTCCGCACGCGCACCGCGTGCACTTGGAAACTAACTACCGTATTATCTCTAATATAAGCACAGTCTCCAATAATAGCACGTCTCCAATAATAGAACACCTTGGGGCGGCATTCAAAGAATAAAGTGATCAGTCTCCATTATAAGAACACTGTGTAAATTCATTGTCTGTACCGGCGAAAAAACCCTGAAATGTGTGTGTCTGACATGAATTTGGCATGGCAACAAGCCTCTGAAATGAGGGTGAAATAACAATGGAACAGTCTCCAATAAAGGAACGTCTCCATTAATAGCACGGGGCGGAGGTACATTGAAAAATTAAAGACCGTGCTTATATTAGAGATAATACGGTAACTAATTACTTACTTGAAGTGCAGCCCAGGAAGCACGAGGCGAGTGTCGACAAGTACTTCACCTGCTTTTGAGATTTAGACCGCGTTGCTTCACTAGCAGTAGGCGTCTCGACCGTTCAGGACTTATCTTTCTAAAATTCTGCTAGCCTTATTGATGAAGCCTCTTCACTGCCGGCATGTCTGTGAAGCAAGGTACTGTGGACAAGTGGATTGCTGAATTTGATCCCAAAAAAGAATGGATTCGCGCAGAGTCGAGTGGTGGAGCTGTGACCAAGATATTTTGCAAGATGTGCAGGGAGAAGGCGTCCTCGCTTCGTGGTTTGAGGAATTACAGCATGGCGTTCGTTGACGGTATAAGTGGAAGTGCACTGAAGACTGCATTGTCGACGGAAAAAACTGCTATGCAAAATTGTTGCGTTGCTATGCAAACGTCGGGGTGTGTAGCAATTATTGCTATGCAATTTTTTTGAAGTAAATTAGTCCCTGATGTACATACAGCGAAAATCTGTGTGTGCACATCCAGTGCATGCGCACATTTGCATGCGTCTCTTGCGACGAGCGTATACATGGTACATACAATGTGTGATAGACCAGCACACACTCACAGCACAACCAGTTACGCTGTACACGCATCAATGTACACACACACACGCACGCACGCACGCACACACACACACACGCGCACGCATACACCCACATACACACGTACACACACACACACACGCACACACACACACGCACACACGCACACACACACACACACACACACACACACACACACACACACACACACACTTACCAAGACCGTCATATTCATGGCAAAGGTAACCAGAATAATAAGAAAGGAGCGGCGAGTGCCAAGGAACAGTGCCATTACAAACACACTGAGCAGAAACGCAACCCCCGGCACAGCCACGTAGATCATAGTGGCTAGGAGATTACAGCCGTACGGGTTGTATGGCACGTCGGTGATATTGACGACTGCAGTTGCTGTTGCTGACGCGTTGGAAGCTGCCGTGCCGTTAGCTGTTGTATTTGCAATCAGCTCCTTGCAGGCTTGACCAAACAGGTCCTTCAGCCGTGTTCCCTCGGATAGCAACGCACCCTGAGCAATTGACAAGAGAAACGCTTATGAGCCAAGTGGCTCAGGACATTGTTGAATGATGATGATGCCGGTTGTTCAATTTGGCAAATCCAAACGGGAAGTTTCTTGACAATACCAAGGCAGTGTAGAGATTAGGTATAAGAGACAGAATTACTTTAAACAGTTTCCTCTGAGACAAAAATGCGGTAATACTCATAAAAAGGACACACTTCAGGCTCTTCACGAACATCCGGAACGTTTTTGGTTTCACAAGTATACTTTCAAGCCTTCTCATCAGGTGAAATACAGGCAAGGGAAAAGGAACAGGAACAGTGGATTAAGTACAGTAAGGAGGTGGTAACACAGCGCAAAGAAGAATATAGCTAAAGTAAACAGCAAAAATACGTGACCTATACACATAGCAATAATGACACAAAGGTGCAAGTGCGAGAAAACTCAATAAGTGTGACATGTAGTGCGACAAAAAGAGACAACTACTGGACATAACTAACGAGGTTTTGACGACCTACCTAACAGCCTAAGTGTGAATTTAATTTGCTTCTGCTTGCAAAGGTTGGGTTTCTTTGTGTGGATGTATACGGCTTCCAAAACATTCAATGTCAGATTCCGGATAGTTTGACGACCCATTGTATGTGACATTTGTCGATGATTCTTTCTCGTATTTTCAGTCCGAGGCTCAGTGCCTCCAATTTTGTGATCTGCTGAGGAAAGTTGTTGATGGTATGTTGGATTTTACGTGTGAATTTGAGGACTCAGATCGTCTCACTTTCCTGGATGTGCTCGTTGAGAAGTTGTTGTTGATGTTGAAATTTTATTTTGTATCGCAGACCAAACGGGCAAAGGTAAGTCAATTGATGGTGGTGTTGCCAGGTCGGTCTATCGCAAGCCTTCGTTCGCTGGCTTAGACATTGTTTGGGATTCGTTTTGCGTGACACTGTATAAGATGAACTTGTTGCGTAACTTGGTGGATCGTGCACGTCGCCTTTGTTCGTCCTCGGGGTTGGAGCAGGAGTTGGAGAAGTTATGTGCACTGTTTCGTCTCAATGGATACCCCGAGTCTGTTATTGTGAAATATGCAACTGAGACCAGTCCAAAGAAGAATGTTGCAGTTTCCACTAATCCACTGTACCTATGTTTACCGTGGAAGGGCGAGTCAGTATCACGTATGGTTCAGCGTCGGGTTAAGTCTGCCGTGGAGTCCAATTACCATACTGTTCATATTCGCTTCATCTACTCCACGGTGCGTGCGTTCACGGTGAGGAAGGACGTCCTGCCTACACACCAATTATCCAAGTTGATTTATCACTTCGAGTGTCGGCAATGTGAGAGCCGATACGTAGGTAGGACTCTTCCACATCTGGACGCACGCATCCGACAACACGCACCGCTACACCTTATTCCACAACACGCACGATCCACTCGACCACGGAGGGGACGTCCAGCAAAGAATCATCCTGGTACAAAATGGTCTAACGCAGCGGCATCAACACCAAGCAACGTCACCTCACAATTAACTAGACCACCGGAAAAACAACCGGACAAGACACCTACTGGCGTGGCAGTGACAGGAACTGCATCAACTAGAAGAATGACAAGATCGGCAATGACGGCGATGGCAGCGTCTAAAGCACTGACATCAACACCAAGCAACGTCACCTCACAATTAACTAGACCACCGGAAAAACAACCGGACAAGACAACTTCTGGCGTGGCAGTGACAGGAACCTCATCAACTAGAAGAATGACAAGATAGGCAAAGACGGCGATGGCAGCATCTAAAGCACTGACAGAGGCAACGGCTAGGGTCCACTCGACTAGCCATTTGATATCGGATGTGTCCACTGCACATGCTGATTGTTCTGATCTTAGTTCTGATAAGTATGAGTCGTCCATTGCTAGTCATTTGTTTGAGCATCCTAATTGTCGTGCTGTGTATTCAGATGATTGTTTTTCGATTGTGTCATGTGTACGCAGTGCTAGATTGCTGAATGTTTTGGAAGCCATATATATCCACACAAAGAAACCCAACCTTTGCAAGCAGAAGCAAATAAAATTCAAACTTAGGCTGTTAGGTAGGTCGTCAAAACCTCGTTAGTCATGTCCAGTAGTTGTCTCTTGTTGTCGCACTACATGTCACACTTATTGAGTTTTCTCGCACTTGCACCTTTGTGTCATTATTGCTATGTGTATAGGTCACGTATTTTCGCTGTTTACTTTAGCTATCTTCTTCTTTGCGCTGTTTTACCACCTCCTTACTGTACTTAATCCACTGTTCCTGTTCCGTTTCCCTTGCCTGTATTTCACCTGATGAGAAGGCTTGAAAGTATACTTGTGAAACCAAAACTTCCAAGATGTTCGTAAAGAGCCTGAAGTGTGTCCTTTTTATGAGTATAATTTCTGTAAAACATATCATTTTTGGTGTAACTTCAATTTCGGTGATTTCGGTAGAGAAACCAGGTACCTAAATTTAAGTTACACCTATATGCACTAGCCTGAGAGTATGCACTGTATGTGAAGGGAACGCTAGTCACCTAATTCTATATTACGCCTGAAACCTGGCAGGTCGCTGGCACCTAAAATTACATGTTTTACAGCACTGTAAAGTGTTTTCGCGGCGTTTTTAGTTCGCGTTTTCAGAATCCGGACAGGTTTGCGAGGTTTTAATTCTGCGATTGCAGAATGGCATTCTTGCTAAACCTGTGGCGTTCTTGCTAAACCTTTCATGGATCTCCTTTTCGCGCTGTCTAAATTTCGCGATTTCCACGCGGTCGCGAATTTCGCAGAAATTAGACCATCGCAATAATTTCACGGTTAACAGTAATGACAACAGCACTATGCCTGTACAGTGCAGCTCAATGAGCTATAGTCACGTTGAGTCCTGCACTAGTCACGGTGCACAGCCCAGTGTTCACCGGTCTGGGGATGCATTGCGCGGGACGCGACACTGACCGGCAAGAACGAATTTCATTGAGCAGCGCTGTAGCATGCACTCTCCCATAGTAATGTTGCGCACTGCTGCGTATAGCAACGGCGAGCAGATAATATGAATTCTGTTGAAGATGCAACAAGAAGAGGACGAAGAATCTTCATTCTCCTCGTGTTGTTAGAAGTAGCTCTGCCCATGGGCATCACAAACACTACTGGACAGCCAGGAACCTTTCTGCTAAGAGATTCTTGTGAAGATATGAAGATTACGCGAGAGCAATGTGGATTGCAGTGCGATTGGAGGCAGGCTTATTCACCAATGCAGACCGTAGAACATGAACCAACCAAATTCTTGACGTTGAGCGACATTGACATACATGTACAGGATCGTCGGTTGCCGAAGAACTGGGGGGGGGGGGGGGGGGGCGTCGGCTTCCTAGCCAAGACCGTTCTTATTTTCATGTATTACAGCCAATGGGCAGTGGAGTCACCGTGTGCACATTGGTATGCTGTGAATGGTGAAATTCTAGCCGGGCCGTTTTTCGGCGCTCTGTTCTTTGGCGTTCTGTTCTTCGGCTCTCTGTTCTTTGTCGCCCAATAGTAGTGTAATGCTTCACAGCCCTTGCAGATACAACAAGGCTTGAAAGCGATGCTGTCAGATGTCAAAAATCTAGTGGCTAATAAAGACTTTCGGATTCCCTTTGCCCATAGCAAAGTACAGGATGTGGAGGGTGGGCCCCTCGTGTTGCACGCAGGCGTGATTTTTCTGTACCAAGAGTGGGTCACACATATACACACACAGACAGACACACAGACATAGACACACACACACACACACACACACACACACACACACACACACACGCACGCACACACACTCACCGTGCTATGCATGTTGATGAGAAACGGCATCATGGACAGCCCCATGAGCAGCACGTGACGGCGCAGAGACAGCTGAGAGTCGCTTGTGAACAGTGGCCGTGACAACAGCATCACCATGCCAACCATCTGCAGCTGCAGTATTCTGACGAGCGCCTCCAAATCATCACTGGGTAGGAATTGGGAAATGATCGGCACATAGCTGATGACGGACGTTATACCCCTCGTCCAGCTTGTTTGGTTCAGCATGGAGTGGAGCAATGGGAAGCAAAAAGCGCACATGACCATCAACGATAGGACCAGGTGTACGAGTGTGGTGATCGCGACCACTAGGATGTGCCGTCTGCCGTGCCGACTCTCCACGTCGTAGTGCGCCCTGTGCAGATTGTCCAGCAGCTGTTTGAAGAATCGCTGGTGCCAGGCCTCGCTGTCCTGCCCGCCCTCGCGCATTTTCCAGTCCAGGTACGCCGCGCCCAGCGCCGACCCGCCGCTCACTGTGCTAAGATGGTCGATACGCACTTTCTCAGCCAGTAGCGACTTGAGCACACCAGCGCAGAACGCTATCGGGTGATACCCGCCGCTGCTGGACAAGCACAGTCCCACGTTCTCGGGCGCTACTTCCTGCAGCAGTTCGTTCATGCGACGGCTGCTCTGGCGGCGCAGCAGTCCGATTCTTGGCTTGCTAGCTGCCCGTGTGCCGGCCGTCGACGATTGGTCGCTAGCGCTGGGTACGGAGCTATGCCGCACGTTTTCAGCCGCGGAAGCCATGATTTGCGCTAGATTGACGGCTCGACAGGTTGATTTCGTCCGAGCCAAATGGTTGAGTTTATCCCTGTGATGGTATTTGCTCGCAGATGCAACTGTAGCGGAGTCGACATGGAACTGGGAGGCAGAACCTCCGGTCGCTCTCAGGGCAGCTCCTTTTGACGGGCAAAAAATCAGGCGCGCGCAGAACGAGCCGTCACAGCCGATACGGTCAGTTTTCCGTCTCCGACGTGTACGGCTCAACACTCAACAGCGGGTCACTCTGTGTCCTTCCCCAGTTCATGCACTGCTGTCCAGTATACTAACGATCGCGTCAAGCCGCCTCAAAACAAAAAGGAGAGGCATTCTTGCCAAGCTCGGCTTCATGTCCCTGCTTCACGACATCAGCCGATCAGACGATTCCTTCCGGATGTATTATCGTGCATATCGATGCGCTGCACTAGTACTGTATAATAATACTAGTGTTCACAAAAAATTAATCATGAAATTCTATTAAAAAAATTGGCGATTGTTTTCTTTCGCGGTACCATGGTACCGGTACAAACTGGTAGCTACGTTACGTAGAGCCGGGCGCACGGACTGACACAGTGACAATCTGTACTCTGCATTACTACTACCGGTACTACTACACAGTCGTCGCCAAAAAAATCCGGCCAAATGCAATGCTAGCTACCAGTAGCTGTAATGGGCCGCATGCACTGTATCATACTGTCTTCATACTCATAGTGGTAGTGGTAGACCGGGTCTGCATGTAGTGCAGTTACTTCACTGTTCACATGCTGACAGGCTAGGCCCACATAGTACACTGGTACACCATGTAGAGGCGACGGTTCGATACTGGAATGGCTTGACAGGTCACCAAAATATTTTTCGGATGAATTTTCTTGTAGAAGAGCGCTAGCGCGTGATTTATTCAAAGAGGTTTCTCATCTCGGCATCGCTTCGCCGCCGTCTTTGGCGACATCAGCATCGTCAGCTACCTCTGATTGCTCCTCTCCACTGCCTGTCTACTCTCTTTCGCCTGGAGTGTCCTCACCGTCATCTGTGTGGCTGAAAAGACTATGGCGATACGCATAAAATTTGACTTGGCCATGGAGTTGGTTTTTCTGAGGCGACTGGGGAGGCAGGTTTGGCCCTCGACTCTTTGGGCGATCAAAGTTCGTTGGAATCAGCAAGAAAAGGAGCACGGGACAGGACATTGCTGATGCTGGGGCTCACGAAATGAAAACACATCATTTTCGACTTGCAAAACAAACGTTGGTGCGAAAATTCGGCATTTTGATCTTCGACAAATGACCGAAGAATGCCGAACCGAAATTCGGAATGCAAAACCTCACTATTGACTACGAAGAAAGGTGAATTTGATAATTTTCAAAGGTAACTCCCAACTACTTTGGCAATGAAAATTAATAATATTTTTACTGAAGTACAAAAGAAATCAAATAAATACAAGAAGAATTCGGATGATGAGCTACATGTACATGTAGGTGTCAGGCCGCCGAATGTCTGAGTACTCCTTGTCAGTTTTGTGCCATTTTGTCGCACTCGCTAACTGTATAAGATCTGGTTACGTTGGTGGACAGTTGGTCATAACTCGTAACATTTTGTCCTCCTTTTTCACCATAAAACGAAGAAGTAATGTTTTCTCTTTTCCATGTTGATCTCTGACATGCATGGACATCTTGGTATGGGGATACTCATGTATTTTGTTGTCCTTAAGTTATGGCCACTTGCAACTTGCAAGTACGAAAAAAAGCACAATTTTCGGAACATTGAGGCTCCATAAGTACAACAAAGTGAATATATATCCCCGGGTGGCAAAGCATTTAGAGCATAATGCAAGAATCCATCAAAGCATATTTCCATGATTTCGCGAGCATAATCCGCCGGAGCCTAGCTGGCGTGGCTAAGCGGTGCCGCCCCAGGAACTCTTCTAAAGTCAGGCAAGGTTGGCTTAATGGAGCTTGATTCGTAGCTTGGTCGTACACGCTGTTGAATGGGTCGTTTGCAGACCCATACATCATGTGATATTTTGACCGTTCTTGAGGGGTATGCTAATTTCAAGATTCCCCTCAGACACCTTTTCAAGGTGGCTTTGCACAGTTGATCTACACCCCGAGGAAATGTACCTGCAAATTTGAGCAAAATCGAATAAATCGACTTGCACACATTGCCTGGTCTTCTCAGACATGCCCAACAAACGCTTAACTACGATCTGAACAAAATTAAACATTATCAGATCAAAGGTTATGCTAGTATGTTATTATTGTCTCTTCTGATATAATACATGAGAACGAGACCATGGAATAGAACACAAATACAGAATAACATAATCCACATCAGATTGCGACGCTGGACTACCATAGTCTATCGCGTGTGTGGTTACGATCAGATTTCTGTGAATAGCGTCAATGACGAGACCTTGTTTCCAACTGCTGTGAATGTATTCTCTCTTTCTAGCCGACACACACATTCTCTCACACACACACTCTCTCTCTTTCACTCTCATGCACTCTCTCTCTCCATCTACACACACACACACACACACACACACACACACACACACACACACACACACACACACACACACACTCTCTCTCTCACTCACACACTCTCTTTCACTCTCATGCACTCTCTCGCTCTCTCTCTCTCTCTCTCTCTCTCGCTCTCTCTCTCTCTCTCTCGCTCTCTCTCTCTCTCTCTCTCTCTCTCTCTCTCTCTCTCTCTCTCTCTCTCTCTCTCTCTCTCTCTCTCTCTCTCTCTCTCTCTCTCTCTCTTTTGTTCGTAGAATTCATGAGCATAAAGAGCACTTTTACACATAGTAAAACACTTTCAAACGACTTTTATTCTTCTGATTTTTGAGTTATGAGTACGTTCATGGTTGCGAAGATTTGATGATGTTCTGAAGAACTTTGCGCACTCTCTGCACCTATACGGACGTTCTCCTGTATGTACACGTTCATGGTCACGTAGTTGGGATGACTGTGTGAATGACTTTACACATGTCTTACATTTGTGCGGTCTCTCTCCGGTATGATGAATACGTTTGTGAACACTTAGATTGCCTGACTGAGTGAAAGACATTCCGCATACATGACACTTGAATGGTCGATCTCCAGTATGAACACGTTCATGCTCACGGAGGTGAGATACCCTTTTGAACTCTTTTTGGCAAAACTGACACCTATGTAATGTCTTACACTTAGAATCCTTGTACGGATCCTGATCCTGAGCCATACCCTTAGAAGAGTCAGAATTCTTTCCGATAGGACGTCTGCGTTCAACTGGCATGTCAAGCGCATCAGGTTGCTCCCATGTTTCACGTGTCCGTCCACCAAAAACTCCAGTATTTGACGCTGTGGCTGGAGTATAGACGTCCATTTCAAACTGAAGAGATGATCTCCCAGGCGATGCCCGTTTCTCATACACGGTGAACGCTGAAGTCCAGTTCACCACGTCTTCCATTTCAGGCGTTGCACTAGACGTCGCTTCACCCCTTTCGCCGCAAGTTTTGCCGGCGGTTCGAAATGTCTGTCCGAAAGCAGGCTGGCCATTAGAAGTACTCACTGAAGAAATTGTGTTCCTCGTCCATTTTATCAATGGCCGAGGAGAAACAGGAAATATGCTACTGGTATACTCATGGGGTATATTACTCGTGTCTTCTCTGTTTTCCAGTGAAGAGGATCTCATGCACGACGCTTTCTCCATGTTTTCTTCGACAACGTTCGAGGCAGGAGATGGTGAAACAGACGATGGACCATACTCTCTCGTACTTTGGTGATGCATATTCCTCTTCGACTTCATCAATGGCGGCATTGTTGGTAGTTCATTAGAATCCACACTACAGTCAACATTTGTCTCCTCCAAGTACTCCATTTCCCACAGAACTGCAGCAACTCTGGAAGGGAAATTGCATAACCGAGCCAATATTCCCGTAGCTGTGCAGAAGACGTCACTTCAGTAACGTCTGGCGCTAGCCAGGGTCCACACAGCTTTGGTGTTTATTTCTTTGTTTGTGCCACTGGCATTCCTGGTGCTATCCCGTACCTGTCCCGTACCGTATCATCAAAGTGTGTATTTGTTGGTGCCATCGGCGCCGTACCTGTCCCGTACCGGATCATCAAAGACAGCTGGCCACAATATTCAAATAGGGCTTTCAAATGCAAGTGTAATGGGTAGCCGAGTGGTAGGCGCGGTGAAATCAACAAGAATTACTTTTATTCTACTTCTTTCAGGTACACACCTGAGATATAATTATTAGTGAAAGAAGAAGCGGCAAAATAACTGACTTTCTCTCCGGTGCACACCTACCTGGAGGTTGAATAGCTCGTTATTATCAAAATCTCATCTTCATCAAAACAGAAATGCACAGCCGCTTTTATGCAGCAGCTGCCGTACGCTTACATACGGAGATACACTAAATATACATCAGGCAAAGCTCCGTATTAGTTCCGTTCTGCTTCCGTATTGGTCGGGCAGGGATACTTCACCCTCCGTTCCTACAGATAATCACGCCCACGTGATTTTCAAAAAATTAGTGAAGAGTTACGAACACAGCGTCAACCGGAAGATGGCAAATTATATCGGAAATGATAACGTTTAGAGTAGACAGAAGAAATGAACTGATAACAAATCATAAAGTAGAAGTAAAAGCACACCAGGTTCACACCATCTCACGGGGTCAAAAGGGGAAAGAACTGTCCTCCAAATAGGACCGGAAAAACTACAGCACTCTTGCTGCACAACGCTGGCACAACCCGCCAGGAACATCGCAGTTCAAAAACCGAACTGAATACACTATAGCTATAAGGGGCGTTGTCATACACATTGTCCCACGTTAGCTGGGTAAACCGTGGCTCACCATGATCAGACGCCTACCAAACTAAACTGGATTCACACACTCGCATAAAGGAAGACTGAAAAGAACAGGGAGACTGAAGGAAGACAGGAAAGAAAATGCCATACCTGGAATCGGCGTTAGTAACCACGGCGGCGGCTGGAGCTATGGCGGAGGGCGAGCCAGGTTTTATCTTCATCTTGGTTGAGCCGGTCACTCAGAGCGGCTAGCTCGGCGTCAGACAAATGACCTCCCTCCTCGTCTTGAATCGTGGTCTTCACATTGTCGATAGCATCGCTTTGCGCGACGTAAAGAGTGATGGTCTAGCCAGGAAGAGTGATGACGAAAATCTGCATCCCACTACGGACACGAAGTACCAAGTGAATAGTGGACTCCTGCTGAACTTGTAGTCACTCAGGGTTCGGCCGTCTGCCAACTGCGTACCGGCGAAAATCAAACGCTGCAGATCTTGGGGAATACCCTCCTTGTCTTGGGCAGCAGCCTGCCTGTACTGTTATCGTCCTCATCAGCTTCGCCATCACCACCGGTAGTACACATG